AACGCACAATTTTGTACTTGATCGTGTACTGCTTGATACTGGCAGCTACAGGTATTTTATGACAGGTGACTTCTCAGTGAGGCTCGATCTACTTTCTATGAGCACACAAGGCTTCTGTGTTCTGACGTTAAGTAGTTCTAAACGCTCGCGCTCCTACGAAAACCGAACCATGCAACTCAGGCTCTAGAGTCGTTTCGATGCAGACAAAATCACATTACGTACCTTGGAGGTGTCAGATATATAAATGGTCAAAACATTAACTATCAGCCAAGGTCTTATCATGCAGTTGTTCGAATTCAAGATGCTTACGGCCGAAGAGCAGTCACTCGGAAATTGGCTAATTCAAAGCATCGGTGTCGTCAGCCGAAAGTGTTGTACAATTGTGACCGCACCATCCGTGAATACATTACAGAAGGTCACGCCTAACGTGTAAACACCTCTTGAGGGCCAGGAGCGTCCATTAACTACCTTTCGCACCACGCCATGGTGCGTCGACAGGATGCCACTCCAGCACATTTCTTGAGTCTCAAGTCCCCAAGACAGTGCCTCCTGGCTGCATTGGAACACACCAACGATAAGTGGCACAAGACGGAGCCAGTGAAAGCTACCCACCTGCATAATGCATTGTACGTATACGACCTCATTAAACGAGCTTCCGCCGATGATAACTATATAAAATTTAGCATGCTGCACTCACTAATTTAAGAGATGTGAATAGGGAGTTTATAAAATTGTGCTCAAATTCAAACCTCCATTCAAGCCATTACTGCAGTGACAAGCGTTTTCGCTACGTCTTTGAAGACGACGTTTAGGACTATGGCAGTGCTGAAAAAATCTAGTGGCACTTTGTAGTTCAATGTGCACCTTGGTGACAAGGCTTTCAGAAACACGTCCCGCGTGTCATTAAAAAACTGTCGTCCGCTCACTATACTCATCGTACTGGTGAATGTTGTAGCGGCAGTTAACTGCCATCAGTTCACGCACTTAGAGAATGACGTCACACCTAACCGACGCTCTGACACCCTTACACTTCTTAGTAGGGCAAGCATATCGTCACTCTGCTCACATAAAAGAAATACTTTGCACTCAGTGTCGCTGCCTCTGGCCTTCGAAAACGCAAAGGCCGATGATCTCGTCTTGGCCGAAGATCTAAATACGCCGCCTCTCACATAGAAGACGCGCCATATTCCTGAAAATGTTTCGGAAGTGTGACAGCTTCCGAGGCGAATCACCAAATATAAATTGTTCAGAGGCCTGGGAAGCCCTGCTGCTGGAACGAGGACCCTGCTTCACAGCAATCAAACCATCCGCCTGGCACTAGAAGCAACGAAGAGTCAGAATGTCTCCGCCTGCTTCTAATCGACGAAGTACCCGCTACCGTCATCCAAGCCTGTGTGCAGGAGAGCTACATTGGTAGGAGCCTTCTTATTTGGCGTAGCGAGAAAATTGTCATCCATCGATCTTGGAAAACATAGTACTACGCGGTCCTTCCGGCACGGCTGTCAGATGGACAGCAAGTCCAACGTCTCGTACAGTGTATCGGCCTCCGGGAGCCGCGCTCATGCAACGTGGCCGTGGGAGTGAGAAAAAACTGAGGAGGACGATTGCGGCACAGAGCGCATGCGGCTGAGGCATTGGAGAGCGCAACTAGAAGAACTGTACTGAGAACCGTTGCTGAGGGCACATCAGTCTGTCTGTCTTCTATACTAGGCTCATTAGTGCTGCCTCATATTAAATATATAAACAGCTTCCCGCGAGTAGCACAGAATAGCTCGTCCAGAAATATAGCTCATTTCCAATTTAAGAACCTGACCTGTTGAGCAGAGTTTATTAAAACCCATGACAACATGAAACCACATGAAATCACATTGAATACATCGTTTAGTGCCAAGGGAAAAGTGAACCTGGAACCCTCAAACTGGTTACAAATTTTGGTCATCCCAACGTGAAAACAGCAAACAGCAATTCTATTTGTGACTTTTTCTGAACTGCATGGTATTTCAACAATGGTTTGACTGACCTGAGTGCGCACTGTCAGTAGATTTGAATTAGTGTAGACACGAGATGTACTTTGAACAACTCTAAAGAGTAGTGCTTCAGGAGTTCAGAGGTAAATCTAAGAGCAGGACCCCTTTGCACAAAACCTTCTAAGAATTCAGCGGCCTTAACGCCACGAGCATCATTTTTGAAGAAATCTAATGAATTTTCAAGATAGCGAAGAACTGGAGTGAGCCCCTCAAGCACCCCTTTTAGCACCTTCTTAGCATTCATAGAAAATATCGCTGTGATTAGGAACGACTCTAAATCATTATCCTACTTCAGTTGTTTTTTTTAACATTTACTTAACCGCTCTTGCATACATTCATAGAGCATACACCAGAAAAGAAGTGAAAAACGAACCTCATTGCGATAACACAGTTCATAATTAAGCTGCTTCATTATTGTTGATATTGACCTAGCTCTTAACCACCCCTAACAGATGATCATGCGGCAGGGATTCAGAAGATCATATGATATGCACGTTCCACAGCGTATTCTGTACAAGATCAGAAACAACATAAACGTAAGCAATCTATTAAGAAATATGCATCCCGAATAGGACCAAGAAATCAGACAGGCCAGGATACAACTGCTAAAGCAGACACTAGAGTGGACCACCCAAAATGAAGAAGACGTGATTTATACGGAGGCAGTAACGTACACTACAATGGCCGTTTTTCCACCAGCATAATGAATGAAAACAGTGAAACACAGAGAGAAACATTTGTACGTGCTAAGAACGCTACTACAGTCGGAGAGTTGGACACAGCTCTTGCTATCGCTACATGCAAGAAGACGCGGGCTACCGTCATCTGAGCTCACAACCAAAACCTTTCGCTAAGTTGATGAATACTTAGTTTTCTTTGTCAATGACGTTCATGACGTCAAAGGCCACTCAAAATTTCAAAACTAGTCCGCAAGAAGACCTTCATATAAACTTTACCTCGAAATTCTTTACCGAAGCCACTATACAATTCCTTGCTTCAAAGCTTGTGTGTTCATCGATTCTTTTTTGCTGGCGATTCCCACTCAAGTCGTTCAGACTTTTGTTGAAAAAACGTTCAAGCCACAGAAACAAAAAATGTTATTGCTATTCACTGTGTGCTATTCACTGACGAACCAAATCTTGTCATTATTTAGTGTGATCCCGGTTCACTTCTGAGCGACAAAAATTCACAAAAAGTTTAATGTTGTAAAGAATATATAGGCTGCTTGCGAAAGAATACATAAGATAAAAAACCAGGTAGAACTAATGAGGCTGAGCCAGCTCTAGAAAGGAGAAAAAATTGCTGTTCCACCATACTTTCTCGATTTCACTACCGGCATTCGGAGTCTGACCTACCGCTATTAATTAAACATTTTGTTGTTCCCACTAAACAAGGTGAGCAAGGAGTGCAGCTAGTTGAATAGCCGGGTGAATATTAACGTGGTTTTTATGGTTTCATTACATTGTGAAACATGTCAATAAGTACAAAGATTAGAGCTCGAACGTTGTGTCTTCTTTTATTTCGCCATGTAACGCCGTATACATGGCGCAGAAGGAATGGTGTCTTAATGTGTGAATATAGCAAAGTAGGGCAGAGATGCTTAGAAAAAGTATTTCGCAATACAAATATCGCAATATATGCGCTGCGACTGTAAAATACACATATTAGGATAGACTTGCGTTTGATGTAACATGATACTTTGGAGGTTAATTTTGAGAAAATGGAAAAAAGTATCCAGGATAACACAAGAAGGAATACAAATAAAGATACTAAAGTGCATCAATGTACGGGAAAAAATTCTCCTAAAAAGCACTCATTCCATGAAGCCTAATGTTGTGCAAATAGTTCTAAGGAAGTAAACCAAATCACCCGAATCACTAGTGACAAATAGTGAACCTTGAGAAAGCGTGTATTTATTTTACACACAACATTCACTTTGCTGCTAAGGTTGTTTCATCCTCTGCATCCAAGACCAGCACCTATGGAGTCCGTCTGCTAGCCAGCATTCTTTCGGCTTTGACGCAAGACCCATGAACTCACGAACTATCTGCCCCCCTCGCCAAAAAAAAAGAAATCTGAGTGTGCCACACTAGCCTTAGCATCAAGAGCGACTTTGTCGACAAGTCTGACACTCTTATACGCTCTGGCTGCCACACGCGCCATTCTGTGCTCAGGGGCACCCAAGCCTCGCAGCGCGGCGAATGTGTAGAAAACCGGTACACATAAACAATGTCTTTTTCGCTTTTACGAATAAGTGTGGGCATTTCTCACAAAAACTAACGACGTACCCGTGTCCTAAACAGTATCGCGTTGGGATTGATAGGTTGCAACATTTTTTTTACAATTGAGAACAAAGAAATTTTCAAAATGTATCTATGTACAGAAATAGAAATACTGTAAATTATGTTTAACATACTCTCGTGATACTCCTTCAACAAGTACTACCAAGCTCTGCATTAAGGGAACATCACCATTTCTTCAATTGTCCGCCAAGTTTACATTTACCCCCAGAGTGGATGCTGTGTTGTATTGGCTCTAAATCAATGAAGTAGACACGGAAACCTAAAAACACGTGAACTTGTTGAGGTTGCACACGCATCCAAAACCTAGCAAGCATGTGGCAGTAAGGTATCAGTGACAGTATGTAAAGAAACAAACCCACACCTTAAAATAACTTTTAAGTGGTGTGTGCCATGGGTTCACTTAGGTTTGTAAGCGAAAAAAAGCTACGATTTGCTTTTCTATAATTTCTTTGTCCACGGCCGTTTGTTGCATATACATGTGCTTTACCTGTGTATAAAATCTTAGTTGGAACTAAGCGCTTCTTCTTGTCATTCTTTCTTGATTAAGCTTTTTGTGCTTCCCACTGCTCACTACAATTCAAAGCATATAAATGACTAAGGTTAACATGCTGTTCCAATTTTTAGTGCCTTGAAAGCACACGTAATGAAATTGTTTGTTATTACATTGCAGATAAAACAGCTTGGTACGGGAGGATTTAGAAGGACAATGCTTCTCCTTATTTTGCTGCTCTGCTGCCAAACTCGCCCTATATTGGCATGTAAGTTAAAGTTAGATGCATTTTCGATGTTCAATTTGAACGAGCATTAGCAATGTTGGTACTATAATAATGGTACTCGGTGGCTGGATTGAAGGTTGCGAAATTGAATAGCGAATGAACCCCGGCCTACTGTATAGATAGTCGTGAATATGCTTCAGGCCCTTGTCCTTAAATTAAGTACATGTTAAACAACCGGAGGCATTCCAAGTTTCCACTGATCTATACTACAGCATCTCTGATAATAGCATTGTAGTTTTTTGACTGCAGATCAAACTAACTTTTTTTAATCAAGGTTGACTCAGCGTGAAAACTGATCCCGTTCCTCAACATCTGAAAAGGTTACATAACTTCGTTAGCCAAGTGCTGTATCGTGTCTACAAAACTAAACAATATTTTCACAGAATACTAATGCGACGACGTGATAAGGTGTTTTAACACCCAATTTTCGCTCATATGCCTAAATGTAGTTTGACTTTTCAGTGTTTGCAAGCAAGTTGGTGAAATGTTAGCGCATTTTATAGCAACTTGGTTTGAACGAGGATTGTTGTAAACACGTGAGTCACGTTGGAGTTTCGCAACAGTGACGAACTTGTGAGTCATAACGCAACGAGCCGCTTGCCTTGAAAACACTTTCTGTCTACCAAACATTTTGTCTCGTGGTCAGCTACGTGTACATAAGAGCTGTTACAGCTTGTTCAGTTCGGCATTGGAAAACTGAGTTAGTTTCAGCGGCTTAAAGTGACGTGCAAGATGACTCCACGCGTCTGCACACACGCCTTCTCAAACTGGCGGCTGCTGCAGGTAGGCGGGATATGTAGCATGTAGCTCCTAGGCCTTATTTTGCAATGAAATATTCTTTTACAGTTCATTTTTGAATGTGTATTGGCCTAACAGGTTTTTACTTGCACCTTTCGCGGAGAATAGTGGTTTTAGGGTGAACCTGTCATTGTTTCGAGTATGTGCATTTCTGTATCAACCTACGCTTAAAATAATTTCATTGATTATTTATGTGTGGTATTTACCGTCTAAAAACCACGATAAGATCTCAAAAGACGCCGAAGTGGAGGGCTTTGGAAATATTGCCCACGTGGGATTCTTTAACGTGCACCCGAATTCGAGTGCACGGGCCTACAGCAATTTCGCCTCCGTCAAAAATGCAGCCGTCGTTGCCGGAATTCATTCTCGCGACCTGCGGGTCAGTAGCCGAATACCTTAGCCACAAGACCACTATGGTGGAGTGCCTAAAATATATTTGTATTTCAGTAGTGAAGTATATTTGCGAAGCAGTGATGATATCAATTACTCATTTGTACTCGACTACATTGTAGTATTTTTGTCGTATGTGCGCTAACCTATGACCAAAAAAGTAGGAAGTATTTTCAAGCTTATCCAAGTGTTTAAGGGTCACGTCCAGTAGGCGACAAAAGAAAAACGCTGAGGGATATCAGACGAACATTGATTCATGTGTGTAGATGCTGCAGTCAACAGCTCCAGGCGCCGCTAACACTGGGATTATTGTGGCTGTACTTGTCTCCCTGGATAAATTCCCTCTGTTTCAAAGCCGGTGAAGTAACCCCAACTTTTCAAGCAGCCAGCCATTTGTAGAGTTTGCGAGTTTTTGTTGAAACCGAATTAACACCGTGTGCAAGACAGCCTATTGGTGAAACTGCATTTGCTTGTGTATAATTAGCCAGCCAGTCTCGGAACTTCTTAACCTCCCCGGCCTTCCTCCTTCCTTCCTCCTACTCTTTTCTACCACCAGAGCCTCCTCAGCAAAAGAGATCTCTGTAAAATAAAAGTATGCTTTTTCCAATTTAGAATTGAGATGTCGAGACGGAGATGTAGCGTCGTCTCTACCCAGCTAAAGTGATAGCCTGTCATAAATGCATAAAAAACGCAAAAAACTGATGTCTAAAAAATGCTCCTTAGCATAAACAATATACGGTTGTTCGGAGAATATACTGTAACATTTTGAAAAAATTCCAATATAAGTCAACTATACTTCAAGCAACGTTACATCCGAGCATCGCACACATGGATATGTAGCAGCCATTTTAAGACAGCCCAAGCCGTTATAGAGGTTGACAAATTTCGTAAAATAACGTGTAAATCAGTGTACATGCATGTACCAAAATAAGTGCTATTCTCTTCACTACATATCACACTAAAACTGTGAGACTTTCTTGATTGTTTAAAATTTTACGTTGCGGTACACTGATCACTGATGCTCTCCGAATGGCCTTTGGGAAGCACCAACGCTTTGTAACAGAATTTTCCTATTACAGAATTATGCTTCAGTGTATCTCTGCTTCTTAAAAGCAATAGTCGTTTTACAGCCAAATATGCTACAATAATAAGTTTGTTCTGAGTCGCCTCCGCCGCTGCTCGTTTACCAGTGTTTATGGTTTACAAAACAACAATACTATCACAATGTTATTAAAGATCAGATTATTATCAATAAAACAATATTATCAACGTAAATATTGCTATTTTTACTGTTTCTTCTTAGTGCGTCTTCTGAAACGTTAACGTTGAAAGCTGGTTGAAGGGATTTGTCGGAGTAGATTCGGCGAAATTGATGAGAGCGAAAGCGTTGCTGGCTTCCAGTATCTCTTTGTTGTAGACAACCATCGCGCCTTTACTCACGTGCTTCTACTCATTGCTGAAGTTCGTGAGCATCACTGTTACTTTCGCTCCTCGCATCTGGTGACGCAAATTTTGCGGTTGATCAGCATGTTCTGGTCACCTTCAACGACTAGTTGCATGTGTGTTGATCCGCGAGTGTCGACGGGTATGCTGACACTTGAGTGATGAGTAATGGTGACTTGGTCTTCCAGAATATTCAAGGCCACCCTTCCCGACGGCGGCTACGGTGGCAGTGCATTTTTGTAGATAGTGTTATGGACTTTGTCCTTAGCTCAATGATGGCACCATGGAGGCTTAAGAAGTCCATACCAAGGATGACATCTCTCGAGCAACGCTGTAGTGTGACGAAGCTTGCAGGATATATCTTATGGGTAATGGTGACTCTCACTGTGCTGGTTTCTGCCGGCGTAACTAGGTGACTTCCAGCTTTACGGATATTGGGGTCTTCCCAAGTTGCCCTAATTTTATTTAACTTCGTGGCGAAGGTCCCACGGGTGACGGAATAGTAGGCTCTCTTGTTGACAAGAGCTCTCATTCTGTGGCCGTAGATGAGGACGTCAATGCCACTAGTTCGTCTCCTCGCGTTGCAGTTAGATCGTGGCGTCTAATTTCAGCTACGACTGTTTGTACCGCTGCTTCAACGTTGCGTCATCATGCCGTCTTCTGGCCCGGAAGTTTTGACGTCAGAGAAACGTTCATGTTGCGGCGAGTTCTTGAGGTTTTGTTGCGGCGTAATCATTGGCGGCGGAAGATCTTCAGCAGTTCGTCACACAGCATCTGCACCTCCAGCGGTTGCTGCCTTTAGTTTCCCGGATAAGGGCTAGGAGGCCGGCCCCGAGGTGGGCCAGTGTACGGCTGGTGGCGAGGCGACATGTAGCGGCCAGTTGATGGTAAACGAAAAGATCCTCGGGGTGTCAACTGCGCTGCTGCAAGGTAGTCAGTGAGGTCGCGGGGTCTTTCCCCTTCTGTGAACGTGGCGCACCTACGGCAAAACCACCCAGTTGCATCTGAGGATACAGGCAGCGGCAATAGGTGTGCCCAGCTTCTTCGCAGTGGTAGCAGAGAGGTCGGTGTTTGGGGGCACGCCACACGTCAGTTTTCGTCGGACCGTTGCGCTGGCCGTTAGATGATTGGTATGGCGTGGACTGCGGTGGTGGCTGGTGGTGGAACTGTGACGGTGAGGCCTCTTGATGTGAGAGTGAAAGAGGAGCAGAACGTCGGACTGCAGCAGCGTAACTCATCATTTGCGGTGAAGCTGTGGAGCTTCGTAAATTCCAAGTGATTGCCGATCTTCTTCGCGGACGGTGTCGGCAATCGAATTTAGTTCGGGATGCGATGAAGGCAACAGGTTCCGTAGCTCCTCCCGCAAGATCTGTCGCATGGTCTCAAGAAGGTCGTCCGTGCTGAGGGCATGGGCTTCGGTAGTCGGCTGTTGAAGAGCGACGGTCATACTGCTTAGTGCGCATCTGAAGTGCCTTCTCGATTATCGTGGCCTCGGTGAGGAATTCTTCAACCGTCTTGGGGGGGGGGGGGAGGGGTTGCGAACAACCCCGCAAACAACTCTTGCTTCACGCTCCGCATGAGAAAGAGGAGCTTCTTGCCCTGAGCCATGGTAGGATCAGAATGCCGAAATAGTTTCGTCTTCTTTTCCCTAAGATGGCGGCATTTTTGTTGGGTAGCTGCACCCAAGTCCTAAGCAAAGAAGCGGCAGTTTCTTTGCGGGCAACGCTCGTGAGTTTCCAGGAATGCGCCGTGAAAAAGATCCCAGGATCGCAGTGGTGGAGGTTCATTACCGAGCATCTCCACCATATATCACAGGGTCATGACGTGGACGAAAGGAGCAGACTGCAGGTGAAATGATCAACCATTTATTCGGGCCGAACTTGTGCCCACGTCAAATAACGTTCAACTTACAGCAATACACTGGTACTGATAGCGGCGAGCAGAGCGCTGGTCGTCGATCCCACTTGGCCGGTGTTCGCCAAGTGGCGAAGCGCGCCAGCATTTATACGTTTATCAGCGAATATTCCAGTGTTATCACTAGCGGTGATGCAGGCTCCAGAATATTCTGTAATGTTCACAAAGTGGGCGTAATCTTAACAAAATTAACTACTGCCGTCGCGAAGCTTCTGGAACTGTCTAAGAGTGGTTTGCGTCGAGGATCACTGACAGTAAAACGGAGTGATAACAACGCTTTAGGATAGAACGTGGCAATATAATAAAGCCCTAGGTGTTATCAGGTCACGGCTGTTGCCGATATTGAAGCCGTAGTTATGCGCCGCTACTGCCACTGGTGTTAACTACTACCATACTGAGTACAGACAAGCAATGAAACAAAAACAAGCATGCCCACG